GCCACTGGGAAGAGCCCAGCTGAACTCCGCTAGGGTCGCAGACTCATTACTAAACTGGACAGGTTGCACCCAGACTGGGTGGCTTCACAGGTGTCACAGCCGCGGGCACCTAGGAGACTATAGGTGGGCGATCCAGTCTGGGCAAGGAACTATGGACCTGGACATCTCTGGGTGACCGCAGTGGTATCAAAGTTCTCTTGGCCACTGTCATACGAAGTGGCCTTAGACAATGGTTGTGTGTTAAGGCGGCACATCGATCAACTACGCTGGAGGCTTCCCAGCAACACTTCCACTCCTGCCTCTGCTCTCAGGGGGGGGAAGACAATTATGATTGTGGACCACAGTCTCTTCACAAAAATGGGGATACACTGGCTCCAGAAGGGGGTTCTGCCTACAAGGCGGCTCCTGACTCAGGCACTGGGTCTATGGATTTGGCCAGTCAACTGGCACTACAGCTTCTCCATCTGCTGGTCTTGGGTTCACGGGACAGTGCTCCCAAGAGGCGTCCATTGTGGACTCGGGGAATTCCACCCCATCAAGGAACTCTGGTCTGGGGTTACAGGCGCCGGCCAGTCAGTACGATGGAGAGTCGCCGGATTCAAGGGAGCATCTACGTCCTGGTCTGCCAAGCCTGGCAGGCGAGCTCGCAGGCCAAGCGCCCACAACAGCTCTAATAAGGTCAGAGTGAGTAAGGGGTCCCTCCCAAGCATTTACAAGACTATGTAAGGTTCTTATCAATTCCAGGACAGGCCTAATCGTCTTGTGAAAAAATAGAATGTATGTAAGGGAGGCTTAATAGTTCTCTTGAACTCAGGGCACACTCAGAATTAGGGTGTTTTGTTTGATAGTGTTAAACAATATGTGGTATTCATGTAAATATGAGAAATGTAATGACTGGGTCTGCCTGCTTGCAGGCATAACTGTGTTTAGAAATAACAACAAGCTTAATTGAACACATGTATATGTATGCTGCTATAAAACAGTAAGTATTTACTTATTGTTTTATCCAAGGGGGAAGGGGTGTTATGTCCTGGGCCTGTGAATGACTCAGCAGGCTCAAGAGGCTGCAGACCACGTGGTTGCCCAGGACCAGACAGGCTGCCTCCAGCCTTGTGAGCATGTGCAAGGTGGGAGACTAGCCTTGCATTGATAGGCTGATGCTGTCCCTGCAAGGGAAGTATAAAAGAGCCAGCGCCATTTTGTTTGCCGTTCTGTTCTGTTTGTGATCTCAATAAAGAAGTTGTGTTTTGTTACTCCTGCCTCGCTTTGATGTCTGATTCTAAAACAGAACAGTCACCATCACTATTTTTAATATCTAGTTAAATGTGGTTACTTAAAAGACCCTAATTCACGGGGTGATCAAATGAAATAATGAATTTGTATAGAAAATTAATTATCAAAATATATTTTCACATTGAATTATAACAATCTAAATGACTGATTATATTTGTACTTGGTTCAACTATTTTTATATTCTATGTTTGCCATTAGTTTTACAACAATTATCATGAAGAATATTTAATTGATTTTTTTAAAAAAGTACAGAACAATGAACAAAAACAGATTCCAAAAGATAATATACAGCTGTTCAACAGATAATCTAATTAATTAATTGTTAAATTATATTGACAAGTAAAACAAAATCAAAGTTGAATATTAATATATTAATTGATATAAATCACCTGATTATATTACATACATTTAATAACTATACACCAAATTACACCTAAGGATTTGTCTTTTCTTGCAAAATATTATGAAATATTCAGCAAAGGGAAATATTTTGTATAGTTTTTGGATTAGCAGAAGTGAAGTGCCTTTTTAAAAAATGATAAATTACATGTTTGATTAAAACCTTGAAGTTTATAGTAGTTTATAGTAGTGACTGATGTAACAAAAAAATCCTTAAAAATCGTCAAATTCTATGATTTTGAAATACAATTTAAAATAGAATTCACATCTCTACCATGAAAACATTTACCCATAAATCTACTTATTCCAAAAAGTAAACAATAAAAAACTGAACCAAATCAGAGGAATTAATGTATGTTAATGTAATATATGCCTGAATTTCTTATATCACCTACAAATAAAATCTCTGTTCCATCTTTTCTGATGCATTCTCTAAACCACTCAATAAACTTGGAATAAAATCTTTTGGTGAATTAATTTCAATCTTAAATCCAAAGAAACAATATTTTTAAAGACCTGCATCCATATGAGCCAGCAGTGTGCTGCAGCTGCCAAAAAGGCCAACACAGTGCTAGGCTGCATTAACAGAGGGATAGAATCAAGATCACGTGAAGTATTAATACCACTCTTCAATGCCTTGGTAAGGCCACACTTGGAATACTGCATCCAGTTTTGGTCACCACGATGTAAAAAAAGATGTTGAGACTCTAGAAAGAGTACAGAGAAGAGCAACAAAGATGATTAGGGGACTGGAGGCTAAAACATATAAGGAACGGTTGCAAGAATTGGGTATGTCTAGTTTAACGAAGAGAAGGACAAGGGGGGACATGATAGCAGTATTACAATATCTCAGGGGCTGCCATAAAGAAGAGGGAATTAAGCTATTTTCCAAAGCACCTGAAGGCAGGACAAGAAGCAACGGGTGGAAACTAATCAAGGAGAGAAGCAACCTAGAACTAAGGAGAAACTTACTGACAGTGAGAACAATTAATCAGTGGAACAGCTTGCCTCCAGAAGCAGTAAATGCTCCAACACTGGAAGTTTTTAAGAAGAGACTGGACAGCCATTTGTCCGAAATGGTGTAGGGTTTCCTGCCCGAGCAGGGGGTTGGACTAGATGACCTCCAAGGTCCCTTCCAACTTTACTACTATTACTACTATTACTACTATTCCAACACTTTATTCCATAAATGCCACTAATTTCAATTTTTAAGATGTTTTCAAATTTCTGATACAGATACAAATTAAATTTTATTTCAAAAATAGACTATCAAAAATGAAAGAATATCAGTCTTTTTTGAGATCAAGCTCCATATTGACTTATAAATATGTGTTTGAGTTGGTTATATAGTCACACCACTGTTGCATATTAGATTTAAAAAAATAAGTCTTAAGTCACTGAAATTCCTTAAAATAATTATTACAAAATAATTGATTTAAAGCAACTACTCCAGACTCTGCCCAACTTTTCCACATCTCATCACCTATTTTTAAAGTAGAATTCCACAAAGAATTTATTACACTGGCATCAAAATCTAATCTAAGTCCCAGTAGGGCCAAATATATTTAACTGCTCATAAATCAAGAAATATTTCTTTTTACTCTATATTGATCCAAGAAATTGCAAAGAATTTGCAATTTCTGAATGGACAGCCTGTGCACAGAGTTACAGCCATTGCAGTGACCCCTTGGTCACGTAATCAAAATCTGGGTGCTTAGCAGCCTGCCCACATTTATGTTTATGGGGCATTTTAACTTCCCCCACATGCCTCTCTGCCCCCATCTATGACCTTTTGGCCCTCTGCTGCCCTGCTGCCACTGACCTTCACTATCTTCTTGCCTCAGCTACTGACCAGGCTTAGCTTCTGGACCAGGCTGGGCTTTGTGGAGTAAAAAAGCAACCAAAAGCAGTCAGAAAACACACACACAGAGTGCAGAAAATAACATGCTGACAAGAAAGTCTAGTCTGACACAAAGGATATGTATTTCAGTGAGTAACCTGACGGAGCTTTTCATATAGTGTGCAATTTCTCATTCCCTTTCTTTATTAGTACATTTACTTTTTATAATTCTAGGATCCATCATTTCATTCATAAGCTCCTTGATCCTACTAATATAAATCTAGAACAGGGGTGTCAAACTCGCAACATCATGTGACGTCTCGTGATGTATCGCAACTTTTTTGCCATTACCGGCAATGGGGTGGGCGCGGTTTCACTATGATCCATCCGGCCCACGGATCGGCAGTTTGACACCCCTGATCTAGAATAACTAAGCTGCAGCTTTAAATAGTCAATCATATGGTTCCAATATAGTATAATTTAACCTGACATAATTGTTCAGAATCCCCAAAAGTACTAACTAACTTATCACAATATAATGTTCTTGCGAAACATGGTATAACTTTTTAGTCATTTCAAAAAATGACAATTTACACCAAACTAAGGTGTGGAAGTTGGGGAAATCACAAAAAGTGTCCTTATACGCTACAATTTCTAACTGCATACTACGCAGCTTTCTAAGCTTTAAATTACTGCTTTAGATTTAAATATTTGTTTGCTTGTTTGTTCAATTTACATGGTTGTCCATTTCAACAAGCGCATTTTAACTTCAGATTTGAAGGCAAATCTGTTCTGAGTTGTATCTGAAGGATACATGTACAGGTACAACAAGTGAGTTTTTCTTTGGACTGCAGTGCAGTTGCAAAGAACACTCACACAATCCTGGGAAAAGATGCAACTCTTTCAAGGTATCTGAGTACCTTCATATTATCCAAGGGATCTTTTGACATATCCTGTGACAATGCATATTTCTTGTCATAATCTGATTTTTTTATTCCAAAATACTAGAAAGCAGTTTTTCTCTATTACCTTCCCCCCCCCAATTTGGTACATCATTCTAATAATATATTTTGTAAGCTGCTTACAGTAAAATTCTACATGAGAAACAGCAACACTTGAGTTGAGAGACTATAACTTATACTGAGAAGTAGGATAATTTTTGAAAGGTGGAGGATATTTGAGTATGCATTCTGATTAATATAATGAAAATGACTCAAAAAATCAAATTTTGAATGAATATCTCAAAAATTAATTTAATGAAATATACTTGCTATATTTAATATATAAATATATTTCATTACATTAAATTTTGGAAATTGTTATGATTAATTTTATGTCATGCTACCAAGAACCTTCTAAAACTGATTAACAATAATAAATACAAGATAGATCTCTAGAGGAAATCAACCTTTCCTGCAAATTTAAAAATAATATCCTGTGATTTGTATTCAAATGTATTTCCTGTGATTCACTCTACCGAAGTCAATTTCATGAACTGAAGGCATATCAGGTTCTGGAGAAAAAAGAAATAACTTAAACAGTGTAGAAATAACTATATTTTTAAAAGATTACTATTTAAGATCATATTTAAAGCAATATTATGATGACTCAACATGCTTAAACCTAGAAAACTAGAAACTACATCTAATGCCTTAGCAGATGTACTTAGAATAAATAAGGGTATTGAGCAATCACAGGTTGTGTTTGCCATACTAAACTGTGTTTTTCCTGGCAACAACAGAACTTTAACTATAGAAATAAAAAATAATAGATTATAGGCTTGGAGAATACTATTTGCAATACTTGTATATGCATACATTGTGTACAACACCTGAAAGGATATATGTACACTGTGAGTAGAAAGATCATAGCTTAATACTATCCTTACGATATAGAATTTCTCCAGATCAAGCTGTCTGGATATCTGGCTTCTGAAAAAGATCAGCAAATAATTTTTAACTTGCTATTTTCATCATAGCTGCCTGGCAGAGTAATCTGCACTTGCCAGTAAGACTTTGTGCTTCCTAGAATATCCTTGAATAGTGTCATAACATTTGATGATGAATTTTGGCTATGTGATTTCATTCAATTTAGAAGTATTCTTTGGAGAAAAGGATTTTTAATAATTAACCTAGTTTTTACCTAGTTCCAATGCTTTTTTTGTAAAAAAAAAAAAAAAAAAGTGCCGGAACTCTCACGTCATACAACCCACCTTGCCTACCCTACAAGGTTCCATCCAAAAAAAGTGCCGGAACTCTGTTCTGAGCATTCTATGACAAAAAAAAGCCCTGCCTAGCTCAGTTCATATTTTGCTCTGTCCTATTGCTTCTTTCAGCAGTGAACTCCCAGCAATCTATTCCAAGGCCAAGGGAAGTCCTCAAAGATATTACCCATTTCTAATATAAATCTTTGCTAGCTCTATATACAGTAGTTCCATTTTTTAAAAAATCAATTCACTAAAAGTCATTTACCAGAAACTTTTGAAAGGAGTTGTCAAATCAGAGACATCTTTTCACAGAAATATGAATAGCTGAACAATTGAACAGTTGAAAGCACATATTGAATGAAGTCATCTCATTATTAAGCAATAAATTGAGTTCTATTATATCAAAATATTGACTATAGCGTATGTTTGCCACTTACAGTTTGAGTCATAAAACACTGGAAATGCAATTCAAAACATTCTTCCTGAAAGTAAAAGGCTACATGCTCCAACACTGGAAGTTTTAAAGAAGAGATTGGACAGCCATTTGTCCGAAATGGTATAGGTTTCCTGCCTGAGCAGGGGGGTTGGACTATATGACCCTTCCAACATCATCATCATCATATGGGACATCACTCTAAATATTTGAAAAGTGATTCTTTATTGGTTTGTTATGAAAGGTGCATCATCATTAAACTTACCTCTTCTTGTTCGGACATGCCACACTTCGTTACTTTTGATTTGATTCTAGCCGATTCATTTTTAACAGAAGACATCTCTCTGTATGAGGTGCAGAGCATGCTGGTTTCATCCGGCACCTTTAATCTTGGAGATTTATCAGGAGCCTGATCTTGACCATCCATTGGTCTCACATAAGCTGTTGGTTTCTGCTGAATTATATTTGGTTTTGAAGCAAGAGCAAGATGAAAATTTTGTACACAATGTCCATTGCTATGCATAGCTGGTCTTTCTTGAGCCTGGACTCCAGTCTCTGTGGCACAGCTCAACTTTGACTGTTGTTGTGTTTGAATGTTCTCTACAAATAAGGATGGTAAAGGACCTTGAATAGTACTGGATGAAGATGGTGGTGAAGGACTGTGTACATAATACATAATCTTTTCCAAGCTGCTCTTTTGGTTAGCTATTCTGAAATCATTACTCTGTGAATCTGGCAGTCCATGCTTATGTTTACCTCCCCTCTGCTGATTCTCTAAGGAACGCCCAGGTTTCTGCCAACCCATTGCATTCTTGTTTAGCTGTCCAGACAGTGTCACTGGCAAAGACTGAGGACTGCAAATAGAAGTCTGAGTATGAGTCATTGTTTCAGCAGCAAAGTGCTCCTCCATTTTGTTCATAGATCCTTGTGACATACAGACCTTTTGAACACCAACAAGCTGGCTTTGATTGGAGTGATCGGTCAACAATTCTTTCATTTCATCATAGTTACCCAGTGTATTCTGGATACGACTAGACAATTCATCCCCCTTATTTGTCTGTAAAGGAAATAATCAAAATAAATAAAGAGTCAAGAAATAAAATCACTGAAAATCATGAATGTGCAGTAATTTTGTAGTGTAGGATTGATGATTTAAAAAATAAATGTTATTGTTTATCTAATAATTCTATTTATTCCGAATGTGGGTAAGCATTAGACAGGGAACATATAGCAAAGGTTAAGTAAGTCACATAGATCTATTGCCCTACAAACTCATAGTATTTATGTATTTGTAAATAAATTCAAACTCTATAAAACAATATAACAGCAGTCACACTATATAGTTATTCAGATTAGTTAAATACCTACAATCAGTATGTCTGTACAATCTGTGACTTTTTCTTTGTAGATGTTCTGCAAATTCAGCTATTTTGGTTAATTTATGTTTCAAGATATTGTGCAACCCACAATGCAGATTAATTACACATGTTCTGAAAACATAATGTAACTTTCCAGTTCAAAGGAACCCTAGCTCAGGTAAATATGTTTCTTTGTAATTCTTCATTATTCAAGAAATAAATAAATAAATATACTATAAATATATAAGTAGTTAAGTATTTATTACATAAGTAATAAACAGCATCCTTACTGACCTGCCTATTTTATAGATGCCCTTTTTAGCTAAAGGTAAAGGCAAAGGTTTCCCCTGTCCAGTTATATCTGACTCTAGGGGGCGGTGCTCAACTCCATTTCTTAACTGAGGGACCCAGCATTATCCAAAAACACTTCTGTGGTCATGTGCTATACACTAAGGCACACGGAATGCTGTTACCTTCTCACCGAAAAGATATTTCTTTATCTACTCGCATTTGCATGCAAACTGCTAGATGGGCAGGAGCTGGGGCAAGTAATGGGAGGTCACCCCATTGCATAGCACTCGGATCTGGAACCTGTGCTGTCAGCTTTCCAACTGACAAGCTCAGTGTCTTTAACCGCCCATTAGCTCTGTATAATACCTCTTAAGAAGCAGTTTCTATTGCTGTGATACAGAAATCTATAGGACAGGGGTGTCAAACTGCCGGCCCATGGGCCAGATGCATCATAGCGAAACCCCACCCACCCCACTGCCGGCAATGGCAAAAAAGTCGCAATACGTCATGACACATCATGTGACATTGCGAGTTTGACGCCCCTGCTATAGGAGAAAAGGAAACAAGAAGAAGTTGTCCTCATAGCATTAATTAGCACTGTGGGATGAGATCAAGGCATTGGCATATACAGATTCAAAGCAGTGTAGGGACCAAGGTATGCTTGTCTTATTTGGTTAAGGAAAACATTTCATTATTCCATGCAAAAGTACATGAATAAACAATAACCTATCCTGAATAAAAATGTGCGGTGCGTGATAACATAATCCTGCAAAAAACAAGAATGATGTTAGGTTCCTGAAAAACAGGTTAACATTTAGCTCTCTGTATGACCAGATTGAATCTGCATAGTTTGTCAACTTATCTGAAAGGTTTACCTTAAAGCAGTGGTTCTCAACCTGTGGGTCGGGACCCCATTAGGGGTCGAACGACTATTTCATGGGGGTCGCCAAACAAGGCTGTCCGCCATTTTTTCCCCTTTTCTTTGGCCACGCCCCTGGTACCCGGTGATGTATAAGTGGTTGGGGGTCACCACAACATGAGGAACTGTATTATGGGGTCGCGGCATTAGAAAGGTAGAGAACCACTGCCTTAAAGGGAGAGGAAAGATATTGACTAGGTACTATACAAGTGTAATCTCATTTTAAAACAGCTTATTTTTTTAAATGTACAGGTAGTTCTCAATTTATGACCACTCATTTAATGGTTTGAAGACCATGGTGGCCTCAGAATGGTGGCCTCAGAAAAAGTGATTTACAATCTGTTTTCAAAATTGTAATTGTGGCAACACCCCTATGAGCAGATGATTACAATTTGGATGCTTGGTAAACAATGGTTGCAAGTGTCTTACACTTATGACATTTGCGGCTAGCATCTGACAAGCAAAGTCAACTGGTGAAGTTGGATTTGTTTAACAATCAACAATTTAATTTATTTAAATTCTGGTCCTAAGTATGGTTGTAAGTTGAGGAGTACCTGTAGCTGAATATAATGCTGCCCTAATGTTCTTCTATTCCAAATAACATGCACCTAAACTTAACTAATCATCATCATAAATGCATGCTTTATGAAGTCAGTGAAACTATAGAAATTTATCTACAATAACATATTTCTACAGATCAATTAAAATAAGAACATAAAATAATTAATGCAGTTGGTTTTACTGGATCAAATTATTTGATTCTGACTTACACTGTTCAAAAGAATTAAGAGAACAGTCATTCTCACAAGTGGCTTTGTGAGATGGATGGCAACGTAAAACAAATTAATTAGTAATTTTTTAAAAAATTAACTATGAGATCAGTGAGATACTGTCAATCTCGATCCATTCAAGGATTGATGCAGGGGGCAAGGAAGGTAATCTTGATAGAAATATTTAGGAACCTTTACCTAGGCCAGCGGTTCTCAACCTTTGTGTGACGTAGGCGCGGCGCGCACGCGCGGGGCCGCCCCCATGCGCGGCGCGCACGCACGGCGCCGCCCCTGAGGGGAAAAAATGGCGGATCTCGTTGTTTGGCGACCCCCGTAAAATGGTCGTTCGACCCCAAATGGGGTCGCGACCCATAGGTTGAGAACCGCTGACCTAGGCAAAAGGAGTTGAAATGATTTTAGGTCACAGAAAACTGCATAACATTTGGAACTGATGAGGCAGATGAACCACTGCAACTTATAAAAGTTATATCTAATCTATTTCACTATTCCATAAACAAGTCAATCTAACAGATGGGAAGGATATAGATAAAGTATACAGTACATACCTTGTATGGTTCACTGAAGAGAGAATAACTGGCATTAAATATGCGATCTTCATGCTGGGTCTCCTGATTTCTCCTTTCCCATTCTTTTCTGCGTAACATATTTCTGTCAAGATCATAGACACTGCACCAAAAAAAGAACAAAAACAAATCAAATTTGGTGGCAGTACATAAGTGCAAACCAAGACCCCCCCAAAATGATAAAGTTGACAAGATGATACCTCAAAAAATGCCAGTTTGATCAAGGGATTTAATATACAGTATAATAAGGAAGGAAGAAAAGCTTATTATTGTCTTAGACTAGGTATACCTACATAAAACACTCCCAATAAATTCCAAATAAGAATGCTACAATAGTCATATGCATTAGTCCTACCTCCCAAAGTTAACATAAGGGGGCAAACTGCTGAAACTAGAAAGCAGTATCTGATAATTCTGTATCTCATATAAATATAATTCTGTATATTTATCACCTTTTTTGTCCACAAAAGGTGATAAATATAAAATCATGAAGGTGACTGGACATCTTTATTAGTAGGGCCTACAATAGTCTCAACTGGAGATCACTTTAATTTACCTGTTAAAACCATTTTTTCACTTGGCCCCATTTCCCCCAAATTCACAAGGACCTAACTTCTGCATGGTTGCAGTATTAGTAAATATTTCCTCTAAAACTGTTAAATGGAGAGCACTAAAACAAGCTCTGATAAAAACTCAGCAAAGTTTAAGACAAATTGGTGAATTTCACTGTTTTTTGATACATCCTGGAATTTTGACTGTGTTCCTGTTGCAGTCCTCCTTTTTCAACCTTACTGAATTTTCTCCTTGATTCCATCTAAGTCAGAATTGCTCCAGGAACAACATATATATTTGCACCAATACTATTGGTCTATAATAGAAGCAGCTCTACTATCATCAAAGAAACTCTGATCCACACAACAGTGCTATCTTCTATACAGGTTGTCTTCACTCAATGATTGCACTCTTTAGCAACCATTTGAAGTTATAATAACACTGAAAAAGTAACTGGTCCTTGCACTTATATCTGTCACAGTGTCCCTTCATTTAACTTTAACTACCGTATGTAAAACATTATCTTATATAGTTTATAATAAAATACTTGTTCTTGTAGCATAATGCAAGGACTTTCAGAGATCTCCCAAAACTGACTTCCATCTGTGGAAAGACAGCTGAAATTGTCTGCATAAGCCAGTTATATCACTGTCAAAATCTTCACTCAAGTTCCTAGAATCATTTATACTGCCTTAATAATTTATGTCACATACATTCTCTTTCTCACAGAGTTTATTTTATTTACTAAAACCTACAAACTGCTTCAAAAACATATATGATGTTGAGTGGCTTATGCTCCTATGTATTTATTTTTAACTGTATTTTGTTGTGTGTTGTCCATAGACACATCTCTAAGATGACTGGCTATATGCCTGTCTATACATCTATCTACCTATTGTATTATTAAAAACAGATTCAGCATAACAAAATAACAACACAAGGCACGTATCAAAGAGCAATCAAGGACAAGGATAACAGCATTGCTGCAGAAAAATCCAAACTCATATTAGTCCCAGAAGTCAGGATTATTCTAACAGGACTGGAGCTAAGGACAGTGGTTTTGAAACTTGGTTATTTCAAGATGTGTTGACTTCAACTCCCAGCGTTCCCTTGACAGCAGACGTTTCATAATTTTCAGATATGCCTATTCTCTTTTATTGTATAGCTCAGGGGTGTCAAACTGCCGGCCCACGGGCCAGTTTCATCATACCGGAGCCGCGCCCACCCCATTGCCGGCAATGGCGAAAAAGTTCCAATACGTAGCGCAACGTCACGTGACGTCGCGAGTTTGACATGCCTGGTATAGCTAATAATTAAGTCAGTTTCTTTTTAACTAAAGAAAAATAACATCTGAGCTTCCGGTGTGATCAAGCAGCTACGATGGCTGCTTCTCACAAAGCAGCCCATTCCGGGGTTGTGTAAAAGCCACGGGACTTTGACAATCAGCTGTCCCACGGCTTGAATCTTTTCCCTAGGAGAAAGGGAAGAGAAGAGCTGCTCAGGTAGAGGTAAGAGCTCCCCTGGATTTCAGGGATCAGAGGGTAGAGCTCCCTCGGAGCCTGAGCCAATTCCGCACTCCAGGACGTCTTTGTCCCGAAGTTCTGGGATGAAGCAAGGCGCCGCTCCCACATCTGCTTTTTTTGGAGGCTTGTGAGTATTCAAATGCAGATGGAGCAGACCAGGAGAAAGTGGATTTAAGATTGATTAACTCCTGCAAGCATCTTCTCCCCCCTTTTTTTCTTTGTTTACTTTCCCTTTTGAAGAAAGGGAAAGTGAAAGGCAAAATGGCGACTGTCTTTCTTGTTTGACTTTGCAACAAAGTTAAAAGTTCATGTTTTAAATATAGAGGCAAGAATTTTGTTCCTCTTTCTTTTTTTCCCCTTTTTTCTTTCTTTTTATTATTATTTAAAGAACTGTGGTATTATAGAGGCAAGAATTTTGCTCCTTTGAACTTAACAGAATGACTTCAAAATGTTTGGTCTCTGTCCCTAAAGCTTCTATTTCCTCCCCAATGACTCAGCCTGCTTCTCAGTCTAAACCAAAATCACCCCCACCCTCTCCTCCTCCTGCAATTTCTCTCAAAGACTTACAGGAGGCTTTAAAAATGACTGCTTTGGCTATGAAAGAGGAGGTAAAAGATCTTATAATTGCAGAGAGGGCTATTACAGAAGAATTATTGGAGAAAAAGAACAAGCAGGTCAGAGAAGACATATTATTTGCGTTTTCTGGTCTTGCCCTGCATATTGAAAGGATTGATGATAAAATGGAAGAGATTACTGAAAATGCAGCAAAACTGGAATTTAGAATGGAGGAAGTGGAGAATAAGATAGAAGTTACACAGGATGAACAAACTATTTCACAATACAGAGAAATGGAGTTCACATTGCGTATCCGGGGATTGAAAGAAAATTCCCAGGAAGATTTGAAGATGCTTATTGTTAGAGATATCGCTTTTAATCTTGGATGGAGACCAGAAGAAGTTGGGAATGAGATAGAAAAAATCTTCAGCGTCAACTCACGGGTTGCCAGACAGAAAAATTTACCAAGAGATGTGGTTATTTACTTTTCCAGAAGATCTATTCGTAATGAAATTATACAGGCTTTTTATAAAAAGAGGTTTCAAATTGCAGTTCAAGATTTGGTAATTTTAAAAGAAATACCTCCAAAAATTTTAAGAGGTAGAAAAGATTTTACTTTTCTGTCTGATGAGTTAAAACGTCGTCAAATCCAGTTCAGATGGGAGATTCCAAGAGGAATAGTAGTGAATTATGATGGAATACATTACAGATTAACTACAGTTTTTAAGGCAAGAGATTTCTATCACTCTATTCTAAAGGCAAGACCGTCTTCACCTCCACAAACAAGGATAATTGAAGAGCCCATTATGGCAGGAGCTTCCTCATTGATGGTCATGGAACAAGCGGTGTTGCCTGTACAGAATCTTGAAATAAAAGATCAAAGGATGACACGAGCTGCCCATAAACACAAAGAAAAAGAGCAGCAGCAGAAGAGTGGCGATAAAGTAGAAGGAATGGTTACTACAGAGCCTGTGGGAGGGGCAAGACCTAAAAGATCTTCGACAGTTGATCTTCAGGCTATGCTTCAAAGGCTTCAGGCTGGTGTAGATGGCCAAGTTCCTGACCTGGAATGTTAATGGCTTAAATTCACCTCAGAAAAGGAGAAAGGTCTTCTACTATTTGAAACAACATAATAATGACTTGATATGTTTGCAAGAGACTCATATAACTTCAAAGGACTCAAAATATCTGACAAATTCTCGTCTGGGATCACATTTTATAGCTCCAGCTCCAGGGAAAAAAGGGGGTGTTGTAATTTATGTGAAGAAAAATTTATCGGCTAAATTAATTGAGGTTGATCTTGAAGGAAGATATGTCTTTGTAGAACTACTATTACAAGGCAAGAAAGTTCTTATTGTTGGATTATATGCCCCTAATCAACAACAGAAGCAATTCTATAAGCTTTTGCATGGGAAGATATCCCAGTTGGATTATAAATCTGTAATTTTGATGGGTGACTGGAATGGAGTTTTGGATATAACTATAGATAAAAAGAGCTCTTCAAAATTTTTTACTCAAACTAAATTACCCAAAACTTTTTTTGATTTGAAAGAAGAATTGGAACTTATTGACATTTGGTGAGAAAGGAACACAAGTGATAGAGATTTTACCTTCTATTCGGATAGACACCAGTCATTTTCAAGGATTGACTTCTTTTTGATTACTAGTGATTTTCTTTCTAGGGTGAGAAAGGTAAAAATCTTTCCCAGGACCCTTTCAGACCACAGTCCTGTGTGGATGGAGCTATACTTGGAAGATGGGAACAGAAGGCCTTGGAGATTGAATGAGAATTTGTTTACCCGGAGAGTTTGTACAAAAATGTAAAGAGTATTTAAAAGAGTTTTTTGCTTTAAATATGAATAAGGGTACACCGATGCCCATGGTCTGGGACACCAGTAAGGCATATATGAGGGGATTTTTAATTAATTTAAATAAAGTTTCTAGGGATAAAAGATTACAAGACGTAGAGAAATAGAAGAGAGATCAAAATAAAAGAAGAAGCGCTTGCTCTTAATCCAACTGATAATAACTTAAAGGTTTCTATAAAGATGCTTAGGGAACAATTTAATATGTTGATGGCAGATCAGGTGGCTACCAATTTGCGTTATATGAGATATAATACTTTTTGTAATGCGAATAAGCCTGGGAGGTGGTTAGCTTATCAGTTACAAAAGAAACAGAAGGCTAGGATTATAGAGAAAGTAAAATATAAAGGTACTGAAGTTTTTCAGCAAAATTTGATTAAAAAGAGTTTTTTAGATTTTTACACAAAACTATACTCAAGTGATAATATAAAGGGGAATGGATATAGATAAATATTTACAATCAGTACATTTTCCTAAACTTTCTGAGGAACAGCAAAATGGGATGAATTGTTCAATTACTGTGGAGGAAATTGGCTTAGCTATCAAGCAGTTAAAGGTGGGAAAGTCTCCAGGAACAGATGGATTGACCTCGACGTATTATAAAAATT